CGGGGCTCACGTTGTGCTCCCCTTTCCGTGCGCAGGGGCAGATCGAAGTGGAGAGTGAGACCGTCTTCAAGTTGGCAGCTCTGATACTGCAGGTAAGTGCATTTTCGGGTTTTTGGTACCGGTAATTCGGGCTTGATTAAGCTCAGCTGCCTTTCTGGTTTGTTTTCATTCTTTATTTTCCCCCCCCCTTCTTCTATAAAGACAAAACCTTACAGCGTTGTTTGTAGTCCCTTCAGCTTTAGGGAGGGAGCTAAAAATGTTGGGAGCTGTTTTTTCCCTTTGCAGACAAGTGAGAGAAACATCTATCTGAGGAGTTTTAAATTGAAAGAGGAAAGGAAAAAGGGAAAAACTCATCAAGGAAAGTAATGTATTTGGGCAGGCTTCCAGGCAGTTTATCACGTACTCTAATTTAAATATGTTCTGGAGATCTGGGAAGAAAAGAGTATAACACTATAGCTAAATTTGCTGTATTACATCATGAATCCTTCTTTCAGAGCACATGTTTTTGAGGCTTCTGTTATTGAAATGTCAGTTTTTCTGTAGTCAAGTTTTGTTGTATTCAGACTTGAGCTCTGTTTATTTACCACTTTCCCTGAAATAATGAAACATTGGAGAGGGTTTCCCCCCATTGCATTCCCAGTGACAAAGTATCACAGCAAATCTGCAGTGGCTAGATCTGCCTGAAGTGCTCACATCTCGAGTGAGCACAGTTCCTCCCAACTGCTGACCTGCCTGTAAAGCCAACCTTTAGGTGGATGCAGTCTGCCGGAGAGGGGATTATATTTCACTTCTCCTGCATTAAACGTGACATTTGATTTGCAGTGTGAAATTTGCTCCCATTTTGGAAGCGGTTGCATTTATGGTACAGGTGATTTTCTACAGCTAGAAGTGTAAAGGACCAAGTTCTGTGCTGGAGTAGATGCAGGCAGCCTCGGTGCTTTGCACTGAGTGTGACTGGGGTCAGGATCTGGCCGCAGAGCTGTGGGAGTGGGGAAGTGAACAATGCTGGGAAAATCGAGGACTTTTGAAGAGATCATGTTTTAATTCTGTCACTGTTTTTCAATTGTAGGAAGCTAAAGGGGACTATTCCAGGTAATAACGTTTTCCTTTCTAATACTGGTGCGCTTGATGGATGTGTTTTTCTCTGTTGGCATTGTATTTTAAACAATCAAAAAACGGGGGTAAAGTCCGGCCACGAGCAGTGGCTGAAGAAAGTGAAATGCACTGCTGGGTTGGATAAAATCAGAGTCTGCAGGGTGAGTAATGCCTTTTGTGAGCAGGCTCTGAGTCCAAACAGTTTTTCAGACCATCCCGCTTCACTCCCTCTCCAAACACGGGTGCCAAAGTGGGATGGGGAGAAAGCTCCCACTCTTTCCCACCACGCCCCTCTTTCCCACCAGGAAGCCTGTGTTTTGCACAGCGGCTTGGGTCCATCTGGGTGACCTTGCCTGCTCAGTGGCAGCACGGATGGAGAGACATGGAGCCCACCAGCTGCCCTCACCAGAGATCAATGAGCCGCTTTCTTCTGCAGCTGCTCCACAGGGCTTTTCTCTTCCCACACTTGCCCCCACAGTTGTGTTGTAGCTAGTGGGCGACCCGGTTGCTGGGTTTTAGCTGTCAAAAGCTGCATCATCAGACCGGGCTTGCCCTTGGAGATGGCTTTTTGCCGTGCACTGGTTATGATAACTGGCTGCGGGGAGGAGGTAGGGTCGCACTCAGACCTGTTAGAGCCAAGGAAAGACCTTCAGTTAGAAACAGCTCACTAAGCAAATAGAAATTCAGCAGGTTGGCTTTGGTCACGTTAATATTTTACTACTTGCTGAGTTTCCCTGTAGGAAAAGAGATGTGTTTACACTTTAGCTACAGCAGCTTTGAAGAAGCGTGCTTTGCAAATGTTCAGTAAAGCACTATCTGCCTAAATGCAGGGAGCAAGTCACGCCTGACTGCCAGAGCCCGCAGCAGTGACATACTCAGCCTTTCCCTCAGTGTGCAGCTGTCAAATAAGTGCCAGTGCTGCTGCCCAAGATCCCTTCTTCTCCCAGTAGTTGTCCTTACTGTTCTCAGGGATGCACTCTGTGAAGTCCGTCATGGCCTCCTTTTTTGGTGGTTTGCTCTTACACCTGCAGGGAGGAGATGTCCTTATGACTTCAGTTCAACTGGATGGGCCAGCTGTACAGACAATTTCTGTTCCTATTTGTGGTGTAGACCTGCTTTGTGACCCACAACTGCTTATAGCTGCAGTGTGCTGCGTGTTTTCTCTAGAAAGACCACTCGTCTTGCCTGATCTCACAGGGACACCCTAAGTTTAACTCTGCTTAGGCACAGATTAAGCAGAGAACCGCTGTTCACCTTGCAAGTAACGTCAGCTGTAGCGACTGGTGGCACGTGCTCTATTCTCAAGAAAAAAGGGGTTAAGGTTAAAAACTACCTTTGAGGTGAAAACCTCCCTTATGTGGTTTAAACATACTGCTGACTCCTTATCATTCACCATAAATAGGTTTACAAGTGTTGCTTCACACACTGAAGAACTGTGTCAGTGGTTATTTTTCATACCGCTGCAGACACGTTGTACGGAGTGGGATAGCTCATAGTTACCTTCAAAAGTATTTAAAGAAAATTGGAGGGAATAATACTGTGCTGCAAGAGTGATTACCTTTTCCAAGTACAGCTTTACCCATAACAGTTGCATGAAAATAGCTGCAGCAATTGTTTCTTCTGTTAAACAAAACATCTGTTATGCCTCTGTAGCAAATGAGCCTGGCCAGCTGTCCCAGGCCAAGTGAGTGCACCAGAAGTGAAGGAATTTCATCTTATGTATCACAAGTGGTCGTTCAGACCACCGCTGATAAGCGCTAGCTTAATTACCAGTGTATCTTAACAAAGATACTGCAGGACTGGTCTCCCCTGCTGCCAAACTCGCCCGTGATGGGAAGAATATGTCCTTACAGCTTGTGCAGTGCAGTTGCTTCCATTTGTAGCCTCTTGGGTTTGACGTGTTTGTTCTTCGCTGTCGTTTGGCAATTCCACTTTGAATCACTTTCCGGAATGTGGCTCTTGCACCATTTATTGCGTACGTGAGAACACACAGGTTAATTTTTTAAATATTTTTTTTTTTTATAGGGTTAGTGCTCAATGAACACGGGTAAATACAGGAATTGCCTGAAGTCCTAGAGATTAGCTTTCTGGGAGTGAAAAATGGGCCAGTCCAGACAGTTCTGGTGATCTCTGCCTGGCTGATTTTTTCCACGCATCCCGTAGGGAGTTTTTCTATGGGGACGTGTCCCTCAGCAGGGTCACTACGCAGCATTTTCGCCGACTTCAGCTGGGAACAGGCAGATCAGCCCCAGGGTCCAAACGTTTCAAACTCCTGCAGCTCTGCAGTATCCTTTCCCAACCTGCTGCTCGAATTCTCAGATAACGTCTTGATGGCAGAGAGCAGAAATCTCCTGAGAAACACCCTCCCCTGCCCCGTGCTGAGTGGGTGAGCACATTCTTTGGAAATCTGTTTATTTTCAGTGAGCAAACCAGACACGTGGGCACTTGGGAGTAAGTGAAAACTTTTGTTTTCTCCACCACAAAGGTGACTTCTGAGGGACTTCGCAGTCTGGTAGCACCAACAGTGTGAAAATACCAGGGTCTTTGGGGTTTGACCCTTGCAGGTGGTTTGCAATAGGACCCCGGGGTCCTGGGCTGGGCTGTTTGGACAAGGGTATGTGTCTTATCATTTGGAGAGGGGGTTTATGCAAGATAAACCTCCCAAGTTCCACTTTGAGAGGACCTTGGCTTTAAAGACATCTTGATAAAACTTAAGTATGTGCTTCAAAATTGCACCCACAGCATGTCCGTGGCATACACGCCCGTTTTGGTCAGCTCTGATTTCTCAAAGGCAATCTGAAACGACCGTGGGCCACAGGAGGAATGATTTAATGAAGAAGACAGCAGACCACGACCAGCGTAGCTCACCACGCTCCCAGTTCCTTTTCCTGTTTACCAAACTGGTGATGCCAGCCACGATAATTACCCCGCGTGTGACGACGATTAACGTCGTGGGGGTGCCCAGCCTGCCATTCCTCTCCCCCTTACGCTGGATGATGTCGGGGCTGCCTTGGGCAGAGCAGTTCCTCCCCGAAATCCTATAGCTCTGGTAGTCTGGGATGCTGCAGGTCTGAGGTTCTCTGCCTTCCCCTGCAGCCACTGGGCAGGTTTTGCTCCAGAGGAGGGAACACGCCTTGCTCATGTTCACTTTTCACAACTCATCAATGATTTCCAGTTGACTGCTTCTCTGTTTAAACTGAATTCCTGTCAGTTTTTCTCCAGCTCCTTGTAATAAGAACCCCAAGCAAACCATTAGTCATTAGCAGTAGTTTTGAAACTCCGTATTAGTTAATTGCACTCCTCCGTGCTCACGCTAGCAAATGAAACAGAAAAAGCTGCAAGCCTGGTTTTGCAAAATCTTCGTTTTAAAATGAGCATTTGATTCAAGTTGCAGCTTCTGGCATGGTTTGATTTTGGGGAAAAAAGTCCATATTCTATTTTAGGAATATTTTTTTTCAAATTATGAGGAAGCTGAATGTCTTGGCAGGCAAACAAAATAATAGATCAGTCCGGTAATTGTTCATCATGCAAATATGCAGCATATAAAGTCTTGCCTGCTTGGGAAATAAATGATTTATCCATTTTTAGTTTACAGGCTGAGCATCTGCCCTCAGAAATGCTGTACAATAGTATCTAGCAGTATTTTTCTTTGTGACTTCACAAAGGAGACAGTTTATAGCAGATATTCTAAATGCTGTCCCTCTACCACTAAAAATATGTTTATTAAAATCAGATTAGCTACAGGGACTATATAAGGAAAGTAACTTTTTTTTTCTTAAAAAAAATTATTTTCTGACCAATAATCTTCGATCATATTGTCCCCCGTAATGTTTCCAGAATTGAAATCCATCTCCCTGAAAGTTAATTAAATTGCTGGAGGAGGGCTTTCATTTTCTTTAAATAGCTGACGCATTCAATTTTGATTCTGGCCTGTGGGCTGCAAAGATAACTCCCGACTGGGTATAACATAACACAGACAAAATAATGAATTCCTGATAGCTGACATGTGCGAGGCACCGGGGTTTATCATTACATGGCTGATAAACTCAGTTTGTGAAAGGAAGAAGCTTGTGTGAACGATATCCCTGCAAACTGCACCTATGAAGTATTGGTTCAGAAACTCCTGAATTAAAAAACTGCACTGAGGAAAAAGTGCTTGGACCAGGCACAGAAAACTGATATTAACGACTTGCTCCTAATTAAGACTGAGTGCTCACTGTTAGATTTTTTGGGTAGTGTTTGCTTGGCATAGTGACTGTTTAGCCAGACAAATTGGGAAATCTCTTGGTAGAAAAGAATGTGAAAACGATAACGTGGGCAGTGCTAGAAAATAGCTGCTTGGAAGAAGTTAATAATTGGCTGATAGCAAAGCTCCTGTTTGCTGTACTGCCTGCCCCACGATTAAGGTAGCTTCAGAAACAGGACACACCTGAGATTTGTTGGAGGCAGCTTGTCCAGCCTGTTTTTGGAAATCTCACTAGGTTCATATGACCAAAACTCCAGGTGTGGCCACATCCAGGACTGAAACTGGAGCAGAAACACAAATCTGGACCAAATCTCCAAGCTGTTCTACTCATCTCTCTCAGGTCTGCGTTCTGGAGAGGTCTCAGAAGGCTCAAAGTGGATTTGTGTGGCGTGGATGGAGCCCACCTCAGGGGTGCCAGCCACTAATGGGTGCTTATGCTATTGGGCCAGACTAAAGCTTGTCTAAAGAAAGCTGAGAAATGGGTACAGCATGAGTGTCAGGCCCCTGGCACAAACCTTTTTGCTCCACAGACCTGCTCCTCTTAGGGCTGCCCTGTTGGGGAAGGAGACCTGTTGTGAACCATTCATGGGACACTCTTTTCCAGGACCACTGGGACTGGGGATGAGTTCAAAGGCGACATCCACACTGGTTTCATCCTTGGGGGCCAGAGACCTGGTCATGGTCTGGGTGCCTCGTTCAGCCCCTGAGGGTTTCCTTCCACAGGTATCAGGGGGTGACATGGAAGAGATGG